GATCCCCTTGATTAATTGATTTCCGTAACCCCACGTGAACATAATCGATATACAACGATTAACCTCTATAAAATTCGCTTATAAAACCCACCCAAGTTAACTATTGGAGCTAAACCCGGCGCTATTTGTATAACGCTCTCCCAAAACAATAGTAACAATAGCGATAGTTGATTTCATTTTTGAATCACACTAGCCACAAATCACGGGATAGGTTATTTTAAAATAGAACTTCCTATTGTATCAGGTCAAAATAAAAGTAAACCATAAAAATCTTTGTTGAGATATTTATTATGCTTTTCAAATTACTGTTCGATTTATTGGTTTTATCCTAAAAAATGTAATTTAAAATTTTTTTTTTTTTTTTTTTTATTATATACAAAAATTGCAAATTTAAATTTTGAGTGGATAACTGCCTGGCTAATTTCAATGTCAAATCTATTTAGAAGTTTATATATAATACATTGCAGGGAAAGAAGGTATAGTAACTGAAGGATTTCTTCTTGTTATACGTATATAAATTATCAGTTAATAAGTCTCTTACACCACACTCTTAACCTTGGTATAGATCCGGTATAATGCAGAAGTGTCTACAATCAAATGGAAGGTTTTTGATATAGTGATTTATGTAACCTAATTCTCATAACTAGAAATTTTATAAAAAAAGCTTTATTTAAGAGCATTAAGTACTTTGTACATTATATCTAGTATTAAGAATTAGAATTGTTTAGATAGCGAACCTATTTCTATATGTTCTCAACAATATTTTATAATAAAGTTTTAGTAATTTCCGGAGCAGAGCGGAGGAACTTAAGTCCAGACAATAGGCAAGAAAAAAAATTCCAGGTGGGTTCCGGGAAAGGATAAGGCGGACATAAGCAAAAATTTCCAAATAACCACTATCATTCGATCGATCAGTATACTGTAACGTTCTTTAATTTAACTTTTTTCGCTAACATGCAGCGTTATACAATTTAAATCAAAAACTTCATGAATTTTAAATAGATGTATAGCCCTAGTGGCTTAATAGCTTAGAATAAAATTTTACAGGGCTAATATCATGGTTCTACAAATAAATTTACGAAGCTATTATAAGTTTTCTTCAAGTGTCATACTCAATTATTGGAAACAGATCGTTTACAATGTACTTACCAGCAGTATTATTAATATAGTGCCTTTTTCCCCAAGTTGTAAAAGCAGAAACCATACCAATAAATTTAATATATTATTCAAATGACAACATTGTTCGAAGTGAAGCGGCGCTCCGGAATCCAACGGATCCCGATTTCCTAGTATTATAAAATCTTAAGATACATTATCTATAAAAAAATTAATTCTAATAATTTTGATAAAAGACCAAGTACAGTATTACGGATAAATAAAATTGTATTTATTATTATTATCTTTAGTTAATTTGTTTAATAAAAAAAATATATATTGTTTTAAAAGTCTAAATTAATATAATAGTTTATCTAATCATTTAATCCATGTTTCCAAATTCTATTTAACCGTTTAGCATAACTTGAAAAGGTACTTCGGCCTGTTCCATAAAACTTATTACCTCTTGACACAATCAATAAATCTACCAAGGGAATAAAAAATTCATATAAAATCATACCATCATTGGGATTTTTTAAAAATTTCAAAGGTTCTAATAGATCATTAAAATCATCTAATAAGTAAATACAAGGAAAAGTTTGAAATAATGGTTGAAGGGAAGTATTATTACGTTTTACATCGGTTGCCAAAAATATTATCGTTGGTAAACAATTACTATCATTTTTAATGTCAATTTGTTTAAAATCAGTTTGAATAGTTTGAATGAGCTTTTGTACCGTTGTTTTTTGATTCGTTAAAAAGTAACCTTCTTCTAATCTTGCATGTACTCCAATATAATTATTCGTTCCTCCAATTTTATCAATAATATTATTTACAATATTAATTATTGTTGGATTGTTTGGTAATAATTTATTCATTATTAATTTGTCCCAAAATTTTATACTTTCAGGTAATTGTCGAACAATTTTATCGGATGAAAATAAAGTTCCAAAATGTAATAATTTTTCGGGTCTTTTATATAAGTCGATTAAATTTACACGTTCATGGAATTTACCGAGCTTGCTTGTTGATGTAGGGTCATCATAATATCGTTGTTGATATGTAGATTTGTCATCAGTCACATTATACACTTCAATACTATTATAAATGTGAAGTGAATCTAATAAGTGATTAAGATTAAAATCTTGACGATGAATGTAATTTATATGTTGTCTCAAAAATGTAAAGTCCATTAATTTTTCCCAGTTATACATTGTATAAAATGCAGTCTGACAATTGTTTTGATCATCTTGAATACATAATACAAAATTACAATTTGTTTTATCTTTAGTAAAACAGAAAGTAAATTTGTTTTCTTCAAAATTGTCGTTAGGACGCATAAATCGTACTAAAATATTATATAGATCATCATACGGTTGTGATATAATTGGCGTAATTCCTTTGAAAAGTAGGATAGGTGGAATAATTAGAGTTCTGTTCAAATACCATGACAGAAATATTGCATTTTCTAATTGAATTCTTTGATTATTGAAACCACTGTGCGGAAGGTAGGTTAAATATTTTTCTTTGTTTAAATTATTAAAATTGTTTGAATAGCTTAAATTTAGATCTCTTAAATTTTGATCTCTAATAAAATTGAAAGTAGTAAATAAAATCCACATAATCATCATAAAAAAAATACATTTTATGGATGAAAACATTGCATCGCTAGATTTATATTTATTAAAAGGTCGAAAAAATGGTTTAAAGTCCATTATACGTCCAAAGACTTAACACAAAACGCCAGACTTTTAATGTGTGATTTTCCATTGTATCCCATATTCTAAACCTTTGTGCGTAATTGTAATGACCCCTTAAAATAGAGTATGTCTAAAGCGGAATAGGTTACACAATAAGTAGCTGCGCAACGCAGTTGCGCGAAACCAGGAACGGGGAAGTAATGAATACAGTGCTAGATACTATGAAA